ATAAAGATGTGATACATTGCTGACAACAACAGGCACGTGACGGCTGACAACATAAAGATCGAGAAAGCAATGAAATCGGCACCAGTGATACCTGAGTAGCCGCTGGCATGGTAGTGCTGGCCGAGCAATAAAAAGATTGCCGGGATGAGGTGGGAATAGATGTTGACCGACTCATTGTGGACATACAACAGACTGCACAATGAAGCGTGAAAAGAGCCTGAGATGTCTCTATAGCCGCCGAGAATCCACTTGTTGGATCCATGCCGAAACCATTGCGGCATCTGATCGAGCGAGCGAAGAACCCGGCGTGCGCCCTTGAGTGCGCTATTATCGATAGGCTCCATTTCTTTCCCTTTGTGCGCCTCAGGTGTCTGCGGGGGCGAAACTCGAAAACGGAGCTTGAATGCCATTTGCTGCCGTGGTTGAGGATACAGTAAGGTAGGAAGACCAGAAGTTGAGGAAATGGAAATGCAAGATGAGTAAAATGGGATTTTCCTTTTGCTTTATCTCCTACGCTGCAGTGCTTTTCTTCGGTTTGTTCTTGCACAGCGCCAACTGTCCCTAGCTTTTCATTGTTTGTTACAGCAAGACGGCTCGCCTGTGTGTAACAGACCACGTCAGAACCAACCACATCGGGTTGTTCAAGCCCCACTTAGGGCGATATGTCCTTGCATCAAATAACGCCTCTAACCCAACCAGGTCGTCTACGAAATCCCTTTGTCATGCCGTGGATAAAATATTATGGGAGTAGCAAAAATTATGCTAGATATTACACCTTTCATTCTAAGCATCATACCAACGTTCTTTTTTCAGGTACAAGATCTCCACATTGAATGCTTTGAGTGACGCGGCGCCACTTGAGACTGGCTTACAGGAAGATCATAGATACACCCCTTGTTATGATCCGAGCGATGGACAGTGAACAGAATGTACGGATTAAAAACCCGATTTCCATCTTACAGTATAGACCGTAACGTCCATAAGTAGACGGCGGACTGTGGCAGCTCGTATGCGCTGCGATAGATTAAATCTTTCTCGTACCTTACGGTAACCCATAAGAACGAGACACTTATACGGCGCAAGGCCTGTGTAGCTTCCTAAGACGCGGCTATCCATTGGTGTTGTATGACATCTGAACTATCAGGATGAGCTAGTTTTCGTTCCGTAAGGTAAGAAAGAAATATGAGGTGATTCAAAAGTTTAACACCCTCTGAGGAACCTATATTATATCAGATAAGTACGCTAATAATTATACAGCTTTTATAGTATTTCTTACTGCTATCGATCTGTAATTGAACGCATAAACACTGAGGGCTGTGATGAGGCAGCGATGTAATTGTTATTTATATTCATTTGTTTTACCTGTTTGTGAATAGAAGAGCCTTTAGCCTTTAAAGTCAAAGTAAGCCTCAGTAGGAGTCGGCGAATACCTTCTAGGCCGTCCATTGGCTAGCCTTCCACAGTGCTGATCCTAAGGATGATTCACCACATAAACGTGAAATGGATTCTTTCCTGTCATCCTTCGTCACTACTCCTTGACCATTGCTTACTTACGTTACATAATACCTGTTGAATTTATTATCTGCATGCAGCAACGAGCATAGGTCTTTCCATTATCCACGGTCTTTCCACGCACTATGCTTG